ATGTCCAGGTTAAATGTTGTGACAAACATTTTTAAAGGCCTGAATGATTTCATGATTCTAACATAGCCCCAGCAAAGCCACCTAAAGAAATGACATGGGGAATCAAGTGTCATGCTTCAGATCTCAGCTGACTGTCTGCAGTGAGAGAGGCAGAAAGGGTGGGAAGGCATATTCCACTCTTCCCCATCTCCATCAGCTCCAAATTTGCTGGCATTGAGCAAAGATTCCCACTTTCCTATGAAGCTCAAAAACATGTCCCTGCAAAAAGAAGAATGCTTAACCCAGCAATGAGCCTGTTATTCTTAGCAGCACTGACAAATTTTCCTGTGGCACAAAACTCTGTCTTCACTCACCCCTTGGAGGCTAGGTAAGGCTCTGTACTTTTTCTAAAACAAAATACTACCGGAATTCCCTGAAAATGCATCCGGTGTCATATCAACTTTTCTCTCCCCAGCACCTGGCACAATGCCAGTCCCAGAACAGAGACTTGACAAATATTTATTTAATGAATTAATTGATGATGGAATGATGGAGCTCAATCCATGCCTCAAACAGGCTTGCTTTATAGTAATGCTGTGGGAAAGGCATAAAAAAAAAGAAAAGAGGACAAAGATCAGCGTCTTTAAATGCAACATGCAGTGCTTCGTCTTTGTTTTTAAAATACTTTAGAGAATTGTGCGGTAATTTATCTAATCCACCCTGTCAGGGAGAATCTGAAGACACAGTCTCTGCCTCCCTGCTAAGTCTTAGCATGTGCTGATTTCAGGTCGCTCCAGAAGTGAAACTAAAACAATCAATTGCGCTATTAAATAAACACTTTATGTTCCCTTGAAAACCTTTAACGAGAGCCTGTGTCAGAGGAAAAGATGCTGAAGCATCAGAACTATAAAAGAGACATTAAATTTCTTTCTGCCTGCAGCCCTGTGGATGCCAGTGTCTGCCGCCAGCCCTGCAAAGTTCACAGTTCTTTAACATGACACTGAGCTTGACAGAGAAATTGCAGGTACTTGAGTACGTACGTATCTGCATTGCAACAGATGTCAGCATCACGTTTAGAAGGAAATTGAATTACAGATGAAAAGAGCTTGAGAGATGAGAGCATCTGTTACAGGAATCTGGATTTGAGAGAATACATTGGAAAAATATGTCTCCTCGACTTCCGAAGGAACTAAAATTGTTCATGATTCTCATTGCCATTCCCTCTCTCTCCCTCTTTCTGTCTCTCCTTCGCTCCTTCCCTCTCTACCTTTTAGAAGGAATGAAAGGAGACTGAAGTTTTTCTACACTGTCAAGGTGAAGAAGAGTAACAGAAAACATTTCAGAGAATAATGTGTGGTTTTTATTAGCAGTAGAATGCTAATTAGAAATGTTAGGATAGTCTAAAGATTCTTTCCAAACAATCCTAATATCCTTGCCCAAATAAAATGCATCATCCCATCTGGGGAATTTTAGAAGTGACCTACCATGGTTGGTCAGCAGCACAAAACACTTAGAACCTGCATGTGACCTTTTTTACTGTCCTTGCCCATTTTGTTTTAGTTAATGTGAAAAGGGACCATTCAATCCAGGTACTTATTATCATTTCATTCAACAAAGAAGTCTCTCTTCGAGCAAAGATTTTGCAGAGGATAATTTATGGCTTTAAGTAAAACTTCCTGATAAATATAACCCTTAAACTGCATCCAGGACCCAGCTCAGTCCTTATCAATCATATTCTGACTATGACTTGCCTCGCACCTGACAGACCTGTTCCAGCTGTGTGGGCCACAGGCTCCAGGGAGATCACTGAAAGCACACCCTCATTTTCACACAGGTCCAGACAGCAGCTTCCGGGCTCTCACACCCTTCAGTTTTTCCCAGTCTCATCTCCAGGTGTGAGAGGTGGGTGATTTGCAGATTCTAATCGGTGGGACCGTGACAATCTGTGACTTCTTAGGATCACCCTGGAGACCAGCTCACACCAAGACCAGGATAACTGTGCATTTGTGCCTCTCTACCTGTAGTCAGAATTTAGTCCAGCCTGCCCAACAGCCCCCAACCACCATCGTGAGCCTCAGTTAACCTAACCTCAATGTCCTCTAAAACCTAGTTGAGATTTGAGGTCCTTCCACGTTGCCCTCAGCATAGTTCCGAAATGGTGCCGATTCAAGCTTTCCAGCAACCAAAGGTGGGTGAAAGGAGAGTAGAGGAAAGTGGAGAGCTTTACCCCAAAACAGAAAGCAAATAACTAAGGAGAGATTGTATACCAAGGAGGCAGGACAATCGCAGGACCCGGCATGTCTGCTTAAATATGGCTGGGTAAAGAGATTTTTAAATGACCTAATGGAGATCATTGGAACTGAGAGCTAGGATCAATTATCCATAAAAATAAAATTGATACTACCTTTTACAGGATTTTTAAAGAGGCTTCACTATTACCCCTTGCCCCTTAAGCAGTGACTCTCCACTTGGGAGGGGTGACTCCCTGTGTGAACGCGCTGGGATCAGGATTCTGGCGGTGTGTTGTATGACACTTTCCACACCTTCACACTAATCATGATGAATGCCATGGCTTGGGCACATCTGGCTAAAGTCAGAAGTGTGAGGAAGCCACATCTGGAGTCTGGCGTTATTTCATCTCTAATTTAATAGCTGACTTCCTCGTTCTGAAGCTGACAAAGGACTTGAGCGTAGAAAAATGAAAGGATGATCACTAAACTTCGTTGGCTTCCAAGCACTCGCTCTCACCTTGGGGAAATTTATATCCTGTTCCATTGAAGACACTGCTCAAGTGACAGTCATAACTCAATAATGGGGCTCACAAGATATTCCACAGATTGACATTCTTACTGATATTCCTTTAACCTACGGTTTTGATCAAACCTGTACTGCAGAAATTTCCGCTTTATGCCACAGGCCCAAGGTCATCAGCTCGCCAAGGAAAACAATATCCATTCCCACTTTCAAACTTCACGATTCAGTTTTATTTTCTTTGTCTTCATTCGCCTTATGGATCCCCTCACTTCCCTGCGCTGTCCCGAGATCATTTTTTTAAATGTTTTTCATTTAGTGAGTTAATTTGTGTTTTTATAATTTTTTTATTAGGACCATCTTAAGTGGTCTCTGCTAAAATTTTCCTTAGAGCCGCTGCTAGTCGGAATACCTTTCTCTTGACCATCTCATTTTTGAGTAACATTCTCTCTGAGGCTTATCTTTATCTTCTTCACATAGAAACCCCTCAATTGGGAGACGAACCGTGAGAGACGATGGACTCTGAGAAACAAACTGAGGTTCTAGAGGGGAGGGGGTGGGGGGATGGGTTAGCCTGGTGATGGGAATTAAGGAGGGCACGTACTGAATGGAGCACTGGGTGTTACATGCAAACAATGAATCATGGATCACTACATCAAAAACTAATGATGTAACGTATGGTGACTAACATAACATAATAAAATAAAATTTAAAAAATAAATAATTAATTAATTTAAAAAAAAAAAAAGAAACCCCTCACTTTAAGACTCTTATTCTCAGAGTTTACAATTTAACTTCACAATCTTTGCACAGAGCTTGATGGACCAAAGAAATTCACTGTGAGACTTGGGGCCTCTGTTTATTTATCTTTGAGATAGGATTCCTTATAGAGATCTAATGTGACTGTATTAACATACCCGATTTTGAAAATATAAAGTAAAATACTTTGTAACTTCTCTGTGTACTATAATCTTAAATAAATGAATTTAGCTATGCTTCTATGGAGGACACCAAGGGTGATCATTCAATCATAGAAGTAGCTGGATAACAGAAGACATTCCCGGACAACCGGAGGCTCTCAAGAAATCTTATTCCCCTTGGAAACATCTCATGAGGGGCCCCTGGGTGGCTCAGTCATTAAGCGTCTGCCTTCGGCTCAGGTCATGGTCCCAGGGTCCTGGGATGAAGCTCCGCATCGGGCTCCCTGCTCAGCAGGAAGCCTGCTTCTCCCTCTCCCACTCCCCTTGCTTGTGTTCCCTCTCTCGCTGTCTCTCTCTGTCAAATGAATAAATAAAATCTTTTTTTAAAAAAATTTCATGAGCTCCTACTATGTGCAAATTGTGAGGCAAGGTGCCAAAGGGATGAAAGAGAAACTTCAAGACAATCCTTGCCCTCTCAATTGCTCGTCATCTGAGAGAAAAAGCAGACCCATGGATATCCCAATAGTAGAACCAGGACCAGAGGAAATTGGGAGGTTAAGTACCAGGCAAGTCCTGAAGAAGCAGATTCTAGAGCAGAATGTGAGTGTCCAGTTGTGTTTGCTCTAAATCCTGCCCCCAGAACCAGTAGGTTTTGGAGCCTCCTGTCCCAGCAGATCTGCAGCCAGGAGACGTAAGCTTAGGGCTGGGGAGGACCCATTACAGTTGGCTATACTATTTCTATCTGAAGAAATGCAGGTGAGTGTGCTCCTACTGGTCACCTCCACACAATACAAATGGAGTAGGCGAACCTCCAAAGGGGCTTATTAGTCCCGGTGTCCCCGGCCAAGCCAGTGAGCATGCAGCCACAGCCAAGTTCTGAGAATAGGTGTCGGGAGGGACAGTCCGCAGACTGCGCAGCACATTCCGGCACATCCTCTCACGTCCAGGAGCCCTGATCCCCTGCTCGTCTGATCCCCTTCGGTCACTCTTCAGACAAAGCAGCCCCTCCCGCAGCATTTCCAACAATCCACTTCCGACTACCTTTTTATGACTTTACAACACAGTTTTTCCTCGAATTTTATGGCATTTCATTAAAGCCACCAGAAGGTGATACTGCCCCTTTTCTAGGAGTGAAATAAATTCAAGTTTTATCGCTTCTGGAAATGCCCGAGCAGCTGTCAGGACATTTGATAGATTTTCTCAATTACAGGACTTGTGGAGCATTTTATACTTACATCTGCACCAAAGTCCAATATAGTGGATGCTCAGCTTGCCTCCCTCTCTTTTATCTTGTGCATCTTTTTCCTTTTAATGACCAATTTGTTATTTTTTCCTTTCATTTCTCCTTACCTCTTTTCTTCTGCATTTTGTTTCTCTTTTTGCTGTTTGGTTTAGAGAATGATGCACTTCTTATACAAACTTCCATTCTTTGTGGCAGAAAAGGGAAGTGGGGGGGAAGCCCTCACTGGATCTATAGAAGAAAAAAGAAGTAGATTAAAATTTTAAAGCAAATCAATTTTCCATGGGGAATTTACTGTTAATACAAGGTATACTTTGCATATGCAGTATTTATTAATGTGACATGACATACGTCAAGTTTTGTCCAAATGGGGTAGAGGCTTTGGATTGTGTGACTCTTTGCACTAATAAGGCTATTCATTGGTGTTTTTCTTCATTATCAGCAAAGAGACTGTGATAGAGAAATTAACAGTGACAACTTTGTGGATTATTCAAAACTGCAGAACTATGCTCCAAATGGATGCTAAATAAATTCAAAAAGCTAATGTGTAACACAGACCATCCAGTAAATGTGCAGACGGGCTGTGGTTATGGTGATAAAACTTATTTCACTGACTTTGCATGTATCAGCTTGTGGACAGAGCAGAAGCCTCAGAGAGCAAATGGGTGATTAACATGTCTTTTTTTATATACAAATGTTTTCACTTAAATAACATTTAAAAATACCGGGGTGCTTTCACAAACATTACTGAGTATAACTTCCCCAGCAATCCTGGAAGGTAGACAAGATGAGTGTTATTATCCCCATATTAGAGATCAGGAAACTGGAACTCACAAAAGACCAATGTTCTTTCTGCCCAAGGTCAAAACAGCCTAAACTCCAATCCAGCTCTTCTAAATCCCAGTGTTTTTTCTCTGTTGTTGATCTCCACACTATTTGACACTCTCAACAAGAAACAATGAATTCCTCGGTTTCTGGATAGAGCCCCCCTAGTAATACCTTACAGGTGAACACAATAGCCTCTCTGAATTTTCCCTGTCATTCTTCATACCATTATCCTGTTTAATTTTTTATAGCTCAAAGTACACTTTGAAATTATATTCCTTATTTATTTATTCACCCATTTATCTGTTTCAGTTATCAAATGCTGTGTAACAAACCACCCCCAAACTTAGTGGTTTAAAACAACAATTTAGGGCGCCTGGGTGGCTCAGTTGGTTAAGCGATTGCCTTCAGCTCAGGTCATGATCCTGGAGTCCCGGGATCGAGTCCCACATCGGGCTCCCTGCTCAGCGGGGAGTCTGCTTCTCCCTCTGACCCTCTTCCCTCTCGTGCTCTCTATCTCTCATTCTCTCTCTCGCAAATAAATGAATAAAATCTTTAAAAACAAAAACAATTTATTATTTCTCACAAGTCTGTGGCTGACTGGGCTTAGTTGGGTGGTTTCTCTGCCAGAATGATGTAGCTGAGGTCACTTATGTGGTTTCGATGAGCTGCAAGCTTGGTTGGGGCTGAAATGTCCAAGACAGACTCTCATCTTCCAGGCACTTCCTCCATGTGGCTTTTCAGTATTTAGCCATGGAGTCCAAACTTCTCTACAGCAGAGCAGCTGGCTCCCACAAAGGAACAGTCCAAGAGCTGAAGCCTTAAAATGCAAGCACCTCTCAAAGCTTCTGCCTGCATCCTGCTCCCGTCTCATTGACTAAAGCAGATCACATGATCAAATCCAGACTGTGGGAAAGGACTACCCAAGGATGTGAATGTCATGAGGTGTGAATCATCGGGGGCCAACAATGTAACAGTGCACTCTGGTATTTTGAGAAGAAACTACTAGAATGTCAACTCTATGAGGGTGGATACTTTGTCATGTCTACTGCTATAACCCTAGCATTTGAATGGTTCCTAGCAAATAACAGATGCTTGTGAAATCCAAATGCTTGTTAAGTAATTGAATAAATGGATGACACAAACCCTATAAATTAGGATGGATTTTATTAATTTTTTCTCCTTTTTAAAATTTTATCTCCTTTTATTAAAACAAACTTTCATTGGTCTAACCCTTTATGCCTCCTCCCAGTCATTATCCCTCTTAAAGTTTAACTATTAACCTGACTTTTAACACTATGAATTAGTTTCGCCTGTTTCTGAAATATTATATAAATGGAATAACACAGTATATATTCTTTTGTGTCTGGCCTCTTTCATCACCATTGTTTGTGAGATTAATCCTTGTTGTTCTGTGAAGCTGTAGATGTTCATTCTCGTGATTTAGTATTCCGTAGTCTGAATACCACATCATGTATCTACCCACCTTACTGTTAATGGACATTGAATTGCTTCCAAGTTGAAGGAATTATAAACAGTGTTATGAATATTTATGTTCATGATTTGGGGTGAAAGTATGCAATTCTCCTGGGTATGTTATCAGTAAGTGGAAGGGCTGAATCGTAGGATAAACATCTATTCAACGTTAGAAGATACTCTCCCACAGTTTAGCCGAAGGGTTGTAATGTACACTCCACCCTCAATATATGGGTGTTCAAGGGATTCTGCATTCTCACCAACACTGAAAATTATCTTTCTTGTTCATCTTAGCTTTCTGGGGACAAGTAGAGGTATCGCATTGTGCTTTTAATGTACTTATCCCTGGCAATGAATAAAGGCAGTTTATTCATTTGCTATGGCAGTTGTAACATATTGCCACAGTCTTGGTGGCTTAAAACAACATAAATTTCTTCAGTGACAGTTCTGTAGGCCAGAAGTCTGAAATCAAGGATCAGCACAGCTATACTCACTCTGGAGGCTCTAGGGAAAACCTGTTCCTTGATTCTTCCAGCTTCTGGTGTCTGTTGGCATTCCTTGGCTTGTGGCTACATCACTCCAACCTCTGCCTGTGTCTACATGTCACATTTTCTGTGTGTGTATCTGTGTCAAAACTCCCCCTGTGTCCCTCTTATAAGGACATGTGTGATTGCAAGTAGGACTCATCCAGCTATCTTTTGCCATGCAAGGTAATGTCCACAGGTTCTGGGGCTTACAATGTAAAATATATCTTTTGGGGGCTTCCAGGTGGACATCTTTCAATTTCTATGTCCTCTTTTGTGAAGCACCTGCACCTTTAGTCACTTTTCTAGTGGGTGGTCTGCCCTGTTCTTACTGACTTCTTTATTATTCTGAATACAAATCCTTAGTCAGAGAGCCATGTTGTGACTTGCCTTTTGACCCTTCTAATAGTGTCTAGTTCTTACTTTAATGTGGTCCAGTTCACCTCATTTTTTTTTTAGAGAGAGAGAGCGAGTGCGTGCAAGCTGGGGCTGGGGGAGGGGGAAAAGGGAGGAACAGAGGGAGAAGAAGAGAGAGAATCCCAAATGGGCTCCATGCCCAGTGTGGAGCCCAACATGGGGCTCAATCCCACAAACCTGAGCCAAAATCAACAACTGGATGCTTAACTGACTGAGCCACCTAAGCACCCCATAATTTATCTCATTTTTTAATATATTACTAGATAGGTTCAAGAAGCCCAGTGACTTCTCCAGGATGTGCATCTAATCAGAGCAGAAGCCTCAACCTTGTGCTACATTACCGAAGTTCATTAATGGATGAACGAGGTCATTCAGCGCTATAAAACCACAGGACATTTCTAAATATTTCCTTTGGTATTTAGTGTTTTTCAGTTTCTTAAAATAATAAATTTTTTAGTTAAATTTTAAAAATTTTAGTTTCTCAAAATTCCAGCTGGCTGCTTTAGAAATATTGACAAACTTATCCTAAAATTCACATGGACATTCAAGAAACCCAGAATAGCCAAAAGATCTTATTAAAGAAAAACAGAGTAGGGTTGCCTGGGTAGCTCAGTTGGTAGCTCAGCACTTGGTTTTGACTCAGCTCATGATCTCAGGGTCGTGGGATTGAGCTCTGCATCAAGGTCCGAGTTCAGTGGGGAGTCTTTTTGAGATTCTCTCTCTCCCTCTCCCTCTGCCTTTCTCCTCCCCCCACCCACACGCTCTCTCCCTCTCAAATAAATAAGTCTTAAAAAAAAAAAAGAAAAACAAAGTAGGAGGACTTATATTGCCTGATTTCAAAAACTTAGTACAAAGCTACAGTGAATAAGACAGTGCAGTATTAGCATAAGGATAAATCAATGGAATAAATTTCAGAGTCCAGAAATAAACCCACATGTCTCAGTCAATTGATTTTCAACAAAGGCACCAACATCATTCAATGGAGAAAGATTTAGAAAACAGTGCTAGGACACTAAAAACCATTGAATTGTACACTTTACAAAATGGGAAGATGGACAAACACATTCTCTCTTATTGTTCTATGGTAAACCATCTTTAAGTCACATTCTACTCATTTGTAATAAATTCAGCAAGACATTAACTGACACAAAAGTTTTATCACATAAATGAATAAACATCTTATGTTTTTATGTAATTTTATGTAAACAAAATTTTATGAAACATGCTTAAGGAAATTCATTGTACTTTTTTAAAATGCTGCATTTCTCTGCCTCTATAGTTTTATTTACCAGGTTGCATTGTAACTGCCTAACTACGATGCTCTTTTCCTAGACCAAAGTCCTGTCATAAAGAGCCCAGAGCTTCCTTATTTTTATATTTCCAGTGCCTAATGCAGTGGCTTGCAAATAGTATGCATTTATTCAATAAATATTTATCAAAGGCTCACTGTTTCAAAGTGTGGTACTCTGAATGCTTCTGAATCCATTTACCTAAAGCAACCAGTATGCACTTCAAAAATTGTTTCTCTGATTTGTCTTTTAAAAATAACTTTATTAGGGAAATGTTTGTTAACTTTCTCCTACTTATGTTTCTGTAAGTTGTTAAACTTTACATCTGCACTTCTTTACAAAATGTGGTATAATTTAGATTTTTCACTAATTCAGTCCTTTCCAAAAATTAAACTGAACTAGTGAAGTTTCACTGTGCTAAACCAGCATTTATGTTTTCAGTTTTGGTTTTAAATATACGCATTCCTAAATGCAGACTTCTCATCTCCCATAAATTCACCACAGAATTGGTCATGATGATCCAAGAAAGGTCAGGAGTTGGAAGTAAATGTAAATAAGCTTTTGGGTATATTGGCATTAAGACTAATGTTGCACTTACTTGGGGTGGAGAGTACACAGGTGTTTGTTAGAATATCTTTTGTATTTCCTGCACTTTTTTAAATTTTTAAAAATTGAAAAAGGAGGACAAAACATTTGGAAG